ATCCTATGCTATGCTACGCTATGCTATGTTATGCTATGCTAATGCTGCGCTGCGCTAAGCTGAGCTAAGATAAGCTAGGCTAGGCTAAGCTTAGCTAAGCTAAGCTAAGTTAAGCTAGCCTAAGCTAAGATGAAATAAACGACGCTAAGCTAAAGGGACGTAACTGGGGGAACCGCGGGGTGGATACTGGGGGAACCGCCCGGGGCACTTTCCACTGCCCGGCCCCTTCAAGCCCAGAGAGTAAGAACCCTTCTAGGCAGAGCCTAGATAGGGAATGACAAGTAAGCACATACATCCATACATACGTGAACACAAATATCAACGCATAAGTACACACATAGACCATTAAGTTATTTACGCAACTGCACGAACATATCGATCCACAAAAACAAGCAAATTCTTATACACATCTATACATGCGTTTACACATAAATATATGTGTATATGCATATATACAAATGCTCATGTGTATCTGCGTATGAGCGTGTGCCATGGTATGCGGATGTACAGGTGCCTTGTGTATCTGCAGTCAGCAGATCGCGGGCATGTCAAGAAAGGTGGCTGCGGCAGTTGCAGACAGTCAGGGCCAGAAGGCGGATACATATATATATAGAAAAGAGACAGACGGCATTTCGTCACTGCGTGTCCACGGGGTGTGGACAAGGCTCGTCGCGGCTGACAAGAGCGCTGTTTAGTCCTTTGCTCGTCGGGCCGCCAGAATGAGTCCCCGTTGCGAAAGTTTATTCATCTGGGCTCACATTACCACATCTGGGCGCTGTGGTGCAAATTAATGTGGAAAGACTTTTCGTTGTGATTTCCCACGGGGAAATAATTGCAGTGGCGTGGAAGTGGCCAGGAATGACCTCCGCTAGCGAATTTATAAGGGGAGAGATTGTATCCTGAATCTCCTGAATTGGTTACATATTACTGATTGTACGCCGCGGAGAACCCCGGAAAGCTCTCCGCCCAGCCAGGCCGAACGCCGTCGTGCTCAGAATCTAGGGGGGAAAGGGGGCACCGCCCTGAGCGTCAATGCTCAAGATGAATAACTTTCGTACTGGGTAAGTGCTGGAAAGTCCATGCAGAAGGTAACGCAAGAAAATCTCGAGCATTGAGTTTCATGACCGGAGTTCTGCTGGGACGAGAGCTTCAAGGATGCGATGGCGAAGAGCGACGAGCAGCTCGAGAAACTGGAGGAACACATTCGGAACCAATCACCTCTCGCAACACGCCACCGAGTCCTCGCCGTGGCGATCAGGGACCTTGACCTCGTCGGCGTGGGAGAGTCCGACTGACAGTGGCGCGTTGCGTCCGAAACGCGACTGCCACGCCTTGGAGGGCCACTGGAGGCAAGGCTGACGCGGGCGTTGGCACGAAGTGGGCGATGACTGGGATGGGGCTGGGCGCTGATATTTCCTTCCGGATCCCGAGGCTATCGCGGCTGAGCATTCGTACAATCATGAATCAATTTGTCTGACCTGCCACGGGCTCAGAACTGCAGGAAGCAAACCGACTGTGGCCGCTTCTGCCGCGCAACTGACTTGTCGCATGGCCAACTGTGGAATCGCGCCTGGGCCGCGTGTGGAGAACTGCTTCAGCTTGTCCGGCCTGCCGCGGGATCAGACCTGAAGGAAGTAAGAAGCCTATGGCGCTTCTGTCGCGTCGATCGCATGTCATGTGGCCAGCTGGGGCCGTGCCTGGAAAGTCCGAGGCGTCGGGTTCTTCTGCGCGACGCGGCCGTTAGCCGCGTCGCGCTGGTGACAAGCGCTCGCTGGTCTTGCACACGACTCCGGTGTTTGGGGGGCGCGCTAGGTGCCTTTGCACTGGTCAGCTTCAAACAACTCGGCGAGGGTGCCAACGGAATTTCATTGGCTGCGGCGTGGCTGAAATACACCATCATGGCCGCCTCGCTGCAGCGCTTGCCCAGACCAGGCTTTCTCCCCCTGGCCGTCGCAGATTCTTCCAGCTTTCAATGATGGCTCTTCGCCATATCGCCGCAGGCACTGCTGTAGGTGGCAGGCAGTTTGAGCACTTCTTGAGTTGCGCGAGTGCTAATGCGCAAGTAATTATGTTTCCCTTCGCCACAACAGGAATTTGGTAGAGCAGAACAAGTCTTGTGCGAGGCAAGGCTGGGACGGCCAACGTGCAGTACGTCGGAGAGCATGCCAAAACGCTGCGTGAAAACTCCACTTGGCCGTGCGGCCACACCAGGTACATCCAAGCAGGAGCATGCTCCAAGCCCAGGGAAGCAATGCTGTTGCCCTGGCGGCCCTGGAAACCCGCAAGCGAGGTTGCAGAACAGGCGGCAATCACGCACTATGGAAAATCACACTGGAGGGGGAGCAAAGAGAAGTCGGAGAGTGATCAGGAAGAACGCACGGGGACAAGTGCAGCCAGAAATCCACTCACCGCAAGCTTCATGAGTCCAGGCATCATGCGACAGACAAGTCAGAGGAAGACGAACACACACACGCCTGAGATGACAAAGCAGCGGGACAAGATGCATGTGATCAACGTCTAGGAAGAAAACGGAAGGTCGAGGCCGTGCAACACGTCTGGCCAGAATGGCCAAGCGTTTGCAAAAGAAGCTATCGTCTGCCGTGCGAGCCCGCAGTGCCGTGCAGCGAAATCGGGCTAGCGCGCATCTGAAACACATTAATAACCAAGCGAGCAAGCGAACAGTACAAGAGCATGCAGGGCAGAGGCATGAGTCAAGCGAAGAGAGAATGAAAACATAGAGCAGAGACGAGGAACCCAGGCGGATTTTGTTCAACAAGCTCGACGCAGCCAGGGAGGCCCTCATGATTCGTCCCTGAAGGCAGTGAGGACGTCGTTCTCCTGAGTTGTCTTGTCCATCTGGTGGAAATCCAATGGGTGATGCATGCTGCCCGATGCAATGTTTATTATGTGCCCCGCCTTGCAACCCAAAGATGTGGTGCGCAACCCACTGCTCATTCGAGTCGAGGATGTCAAAACCGTGCTGCTGCTCTCCGACGTGCTGCTTAGCATCGCTGGTGGCCTGCGCGCTGCTCAGGTGCTCGAATTGCGATTTCTCCCACTGATGGGGGCGCGCGCTGCGGTGCGGGAATGCTGTGCGATGCTGTCGGCGAGTCAACTGCGAGAGAGATCAGCTACCTCTTACCAACTTCGGTCCTGCACTGCGCCAACTCGGAAAACAATACTTGCGTACTGCTGGACGTATCTCGGCTAATTGTCTACCCCGAAATGATCAATAAAAGGGTCTCTGAAATTACCGCGACGCCCCCTGTGTCTACTGTCTGGCTTGGCCAGCATTGGCGTTCAATACTTTGTTTGGGTCCTGCTGGTCCAGCAGGTGACTCCCGTCCTCCTGCAATGATCGGAGTTGACGAGCGCTTCTTCTTGAGCTGGTATGGTCTGATCGTCTATTGGTCTAATTCGGCCTGCCCACACCGTACGTATCTCTCAGTACCACATACCACTGAGAAGCTTGGTGGCCTTATAACAAGCCCTATACTGCTCTACGCTCTTCGACTTCACATCCCCCTGGTACACAAACGCGTGAAATGGAAAAGACTGGGGGCTGCCCACCCACAAGAAAAACAAACGAGTCAGGCTGCTTAGAGGCCTGGTGCAGCAATCGCGGCCTAAGATGGGCTCACGTTGGAACGTAGCCGAAGAAGTAAAAAAAGGGCACCCCTCAGAAGTTGCTCTGCCTCAGGAACTTGAAGTACACGTAGCAGAGTTGCTCGAAGTATGCAGCCACCCAACTGGAATACCTGAGCACATATGGAAACGGCAATGTCGGGACTGCCGCATGAACGGAAGAGAGGCAGGCTACTTCTTCCGTCCCGGGTAAGGCTGAGGCCGGCCAGATTTGGGTCCAGCATCGCCCTCAACACGTCCAAAGGAAAGCTTCCCTGACGAAGCTCCCTGTTGGTGTGCACTAGATCGTGCAGGATCTTTGGCACGTGCAGGTGGCCCTGATGGTTCTCGCCCCAGTGTGTGGCAAGAACTGGCGCCAATTGCACTCCCAGCAATAGACTCGGGGAGCTGGTGCCGGGTATTGAGGGTACCTTCAGACTGCGAGGGTGAATCAGCGCCTGAACGTAGAGCAAGTGCCGGAGCGGGCTCTGCAGCAAGACTTCCCCCGAGGTCTGCGCTTGGGCCGGCTGCACCTGCTGGAGGTGGAATGGCTTCAACGAGAAGCTGAAGGCCATCAGGAAGAATAGGAGTGGCTGGACCATCTTGAGCCACCTGCTTGGCTGTCCTGCGCTTCTCCTTCTTGCGGAGTCGTTGGGCACGGCGTACAACACGAAGTTTCTCCAACAATTGTACAGGATCGTCGGAGTCTTCAGCTTTGCCCTGTGCATCCTGAGCGCGCTCCTTGTGCATAGTCGCTGGCACGGAGGGCCGAGCAGTCGCAGACATCACAGTGCCGGCAACCGCCGCAGCCACAGCAACAACAGTGCGCCTCGGGGCGCCCTCCCGGATCGCCGCCTGCACAGCCGCCGCCACAAGGGAGGGGCCATCAGCAGCGTTGGCGCTCATCTATACCTAGCAAGGGGGGTAGCTAGACAAATGCAATCGCTTGAGCCAAAATGGGTACACAAACGCGTATCCTTCTGAGACTTGCAGCAATTTCTGATATCCCTCCTTGCCTCGCTGGTGCCCGCGGAGCTTTAGAGGCACTTGCGATGCCGATATCTGGGGTAGATAAGCGTGTAAGTAGGTACGCGTATGCGTGCGTATACGTATCTACATATACAGTGCTTTACAAAGCAACTCTGCTCAATGCGCCTTATCGGTGTTGTCCCCCTGTCAGTGGTATCAGTCGGGCTTCAATCTAATGAACAACCTCGCTCTCCTCCTCCTCCTCCTTCTCCTCCTCCTCCCCTTCCTCCTGTTTCTCCTTCTTTTTATTGCGCACGGGATTTTTTGTTGTTGGTATTCCTGCCCTAGTCCCCCACGCCGCCCACGCCCAGGACATCCTCTGGCCCCCAGGTCTTCAATCGGCCCGCCTGGGAGAGCTCGACCGCTCCCTGCCATGTAGCCTCCGCGTCGTCAGGCTCGCCACCTCGAGGAGAGCCAGAACTGCCCCCTCCAACGCCCGGCCCATCCGACCCTTCCCAGGAAGAGATCGGTCGATAATTTTGACCCGTTGCGTGCTTCCGCCAAGACACGTCTTAGGCGGGAGCGCCACTGCGAATTCAAGCTGAAGAAGTGCTGGCCTCCATTTTCGAGAAAGTCCTTGGCGGGAGCGCCATCTCGATATCGAGCTGAAGGGTGTCGAATTCCAATTTTCAGGAAGTCCTGGGCGGGGGCGCCATTTCGAAATCGAACCCTGAAGGCTCCGAATTGTGTTTCGGGGGAAGTCCTGGGTGAGAGCGCAATTTTGGAATCGAATCAGAAAGGTGTCGAATTCTAGTTTGGAGGAAGTCTTGGGCGGGAGCGCCACATCGAAATCGATCCTGGAAGTTTCGAAATTGTTCGAAATTGTTTTTGAGGAAAAGCGAAACTGTCGTTTCGAAATGGCCACACCGTTTGGCCTTCAAAAGTTTAAATGTCGGATCAAAGATTTCGGAAGTGTAATTTTCGCTTGAGACTTCCTTCAGCAAGCGATCTCGACTGGATTTCGAAACCATCGGGTTCGAATTCGCAAGGGCGGTTTCGCCCGAGACTTGAGCAAAACAATGCTTGAACAAAACGGGCCCCTTTGACGTCTCCTCTTTTGTCGCGGGCGCAACGCCACTGACAACGTTGTACTGGGGCCCCATCGCCTCACGGGAGGCGTTGCATTTTGGCCGAACTCTCGTAGCGGTGAGGTAGCCAGGACTTTGAAACATCGACCTTGGGAGAACGCAGCAGTGGAAACGGATTGGCCCACGGCTGCATGCTCCTCGGGCGCTTCAGGATGCCCTTGCTCATCAACCTGTCCCCGCCCGAAGGCGGCCCTGAAGCAGAGACGGCGAACCTTGTCCGAAGCCCGGCCGGCCACCAACAGCCTCACCCACCCCCGCGCAGCGCAGCATACGGTGTGGGCATTGAGTAAGGAACTCTTCGATAAGGAATCCAGGGTCTGGAAGCCAGCGGAACTCCAATCGAGGCTTGGCCATGGATATCGCCGCCGCCCTTACTAGACAAGGAATCCTCCAGGGTCTGGCGCCTCCTGGGACTATTCCTCAACCAACGCCCCCACCGTAGCGGAGCCAGCAGCCCCCCCCCCCGGAGCGACCTCTCCGAGAGGCCGACGAAGCTCTGCGCCGAGCGGCGGGCCAGGCCGGGCCCCTCGCTGGGCCCAGTCGCCCCCCCCACCCCAGGTCGGAGGGCTGCGCCCTGCGCGCCTGCAAGCCGACTCGGGGTTCCCCGCTCCCCCCGGGCTCGCCGCTGAGAGGAGGAGGAGGAGGAGGAGGAGGAGGAGGAGGAGGAGGAGGAGGAGGAGGAGGAGGAGGAGGAGGAGGAGGATCCTGGGGTAGCGCGCCCTTCGTGTGGGCGCTGCCAGAGGTGACCCTGACTCTCGGTGTGCACGAGCTTCTTCCCGGGGGCTCCCCACTGGCATGAAGCGCCCGGAGGCACCTCGGGCCAGGATCACCTCTGGCAGCCTCCGATTCGTGGCCGCGCCTTCCTCTCAGAACTGGTGAAGACACGACGCAGGTTCATTTGACAGACAGAAGCCGTGCACGTCAGCGGTGCCCATTCACGTCATCCTCTCTGGGAGCCCGCGAGAGGGCTCCCAAGAAAAGGCCGAGAGAAGAAGGCCCGCGAGAGGGCTCCCAAGCTGGCCCACGACCCAGGCAGGATGGTGGGATGGGCCAGAGGCCACCAAATACACGACTGACGCAAGCACGCGCCATGACTGTTCAAGCCAACGCTATTTTCTAGCTTTCGAGCAGGACATCTGAAATCCGCCGATCCTTCTGAGTGTGTGAGACGCTTTTCCGTTTTCGTCGTCGTCGTCGTTGCCCCGCTCCACTCCTTTCTTTGGGTCTCCTCCTCAAGCGATCCAGCCAAACGGAAATCAAACAACGTCGTAATTGATTCAAGATGCTTACGCTATTCCACCGAACCCCAGACGAGGCGTGGAGTCCACGGTTGAGGCGTCGTGGGTTTCCCGTGCACTATATGGGGATTCTGGCAGGCGTCTTCAGAGCCGTTTGAAGGCTCGGAGGAACCTCCTGGAGGCAGTTTTGGAGCGTGTTGGCGGCCGCCTTGGAACCTCTTTTGGGCCTCCTGGGGGCCTGTGGGCCTCTTTTGGGTCGCTTGGGGGCTTCGTTGGGCCTTGGGGGGGCCTCTTGGGGCAGAAATGTAAGATTTTCGGTTCGTGTTCCTCTTCGCCTCTCTTGGGGCCCTCTTGGGGCAATCTTTGGCCGTCTGGGGCCCCTCTTTCGGCCGTCTTGGAACCCTGCCCTGGGGTCCTCGTGGGGGCCTCTTGGGCAATTTTGGGGCGGTCTACGGGGCATCTTGGGCTGTCGTCGGAAGCTCGAGAAGACGAGAACCCCAGAAACAATCTAAAAGCCTCAGGAAAACCATAGATTATTGCTTGTCGGGCCCCTTTTGGGAAGGCTCTTGGGGCGTCTCGAAGGCGTCTTCGAACCATCGTAAGCGTCTTGGGCCCATCGCTCGGCGATTTGGAACCGTCTGGGAACGTCTTTGGGTCCACGGAAAACAAATTTAGAAGCTCCGGAATCTCAAGGTGTGCGCCGAGGAGCCTGGACACCTCCCTTCCACCCCTCCCCCACTTGAACTCGATTTTGGGCCCTGGGGCTAGGGGAAGGGAGAGTGGGAACAGCCAATCATGTCATACGCCTATCACCCCTGGCAAGCGGGGTCGGCGGAGTCGACGGGAAGCCCTTACCCTTGATCCCTTCCCGGGGGGTGTCCCGGAGGAGGTCCCGGGTCCAGGGAGGTTCCCCGGGGGGTTCCCGTGGAGGTCGTGCCACCCTCCTCCCCCGCGGGCCTGCAAAGAAGCGGCCCCGGATCCCGGCCCTGGCCCTGGCCTTAGCCCTGGCCCCGGCCCTCGGCTCTGGCCCCGGCCCCAACAGAGAGCCCAAGAGGCTCCCAAGAGGCTCCCAAGAAAGGCTCCAGAACGTCGGTGTCGTCGTCGTCGCTACCGCCGCCGCCGCCGCCGTCGTCGTCCCCCTTCAGGGTCGGCGGCGCTGGCCGTAAGGCCTTCCAAATAATCTGGCGAGAACCGTCAAATCCAACCTGGGACCTGGTCCCAGAACACCCCCTTCACGGGTCTGCCTGGTCCCTCACAGAACCCTTTCGCTTTCCGTCGACGTTTTCGTACATCTTCATGTCACGCTCGTGGTTGCTCATTAGCACGGGCCCCGCTTGGCCACATCTCCGCTGCGTCGGCCATGCTCTGGCCACACCTTCCCCACAATCAGGCTGGTGACTCCGCCCTGGGGCTGCCAATCGCAACATGTCCGACCGCGCCCTTGGGCTGGCGCCTGCGCCGCGAGCGCCCCAAGCCGCCTCTTCTTCCGGGTCGGCGGCTGGGCAAACGTTGGCCAAACCTTCCCCGCAGCCTTGCTGGTGAGTCCGCCCTGTGGGTCTCTCCACCCCCGACCGCACCTTTGGCCCCAGTCTGGCGCACCTCCGCCCGCACCTCTTCCAGGCTGGCGACCTCGCCAGCGGTATCGCCATCCCTAGCCTAAGCTCGATAATCAAAGACGGAGAAATGAGACCTTCTGCAAACCAGTCGCGTCCCTGCCATCGCCCCCCCGTACTTCTACACTTTGTGCTGCGAGGTGCATCGCTGAATCCGTCTTGGAAGCAATGAAGGGTGCTGGAAGGTCGAATGGCATCACTTCCAGGCACCTCCACGTCTGCTAGCGAAGGCATCGTGTCTTGGAATCCATGCAGCGGCTGGCGCTAGACTCAGGGCACGCCGCCGGGAACGCCGGTAGAGGAACTCCGAAACTTTGTGCATTTTCTACAAGGCGAAGGCGAAGTGCACACCCCACAGACGCACGTATAGGCAGAACAATTGGCTGGGTACTCACACTTTCAGAGTGGTGGAGAAATAGGCTGGTCTCGGTCCAGGGGCGGCTCAACTGTCGCTGCTGGGGGCTCTCGCGTGGCATCCCACGGCCTCTTGGTGTGCCAAGCCCACTCGAGGGGCTCTCGAGGCCCGAGCCTTGGCTCTGCGGAGCGAGCGCCCACCGCGACACACCCGAGGAGAGACGCCCGAGAGTCCCGAAGAGCAGACGGCAGACTTTTGGCGGCGCGCACAAGGAGGTAAGATGGGGGAGGCGGGATTGGCTTCTAAGAAGCAGGGGTGCTTCTTAGAAGGCGCCGGCCCTATATCTGCAGACAAGGCCCGCGCCTGCTAAGAAGCAGGGGTGCTTCCAGGAAGCCTTCCCTCGTCCCCCTACCCCCCCCCCTCTGTGCGTGTCCGAAATTTGGACCCGCGAGCGCCAGCTCGTCCAGGCCCTCGCGGACCCGCTCCTTCACGAAGTCGTCCTTCACCTTCGCGCCCTTGCTCCTGCTCCGCCAGGACGAGGCCGAGAGCGACGCGGCGTGCAGCTGTGGGGACGACGCCGACGCTGCCGGGCGCCAGCCAGTCTCGCCGCCCCAGGTGCTCCTTGGGGGGGAGAGACTGCGCCCGTGTCGTCCCAGGGGGACGGCCCAACGCGGGGCCAGGCGGTGGCGCTGGGGCGCTGGCATCACTCGAACGTCGCATAGCGTACTCTGGCCAGTCAATGCCCTGCGGTTGTTTCGTTTGGGGGGAAGAAACAGCACAACCATCAGCTTTCGGAGGCCCGCGCGGCTCTCTCGGGTCGGCGCTGGACCCCTCCCCCCGCACGCGTGGGGCGCGCCGAGGGCGGCGCTGGGGGCGCCGCCCAGGAGGGGCGGGCTGAGATTCCTGGCGCCGACCCACTAGATCCGCGCAGACCTTCATGAGCTTATCGTATGTCGTGCTGCTTGCTCTTCTGGCGACCCTGGGCAAGGGTGGCGTTTGGTGCGCGGCTTGCCAATCGTTGCGTGCGATGCGACAACAACGGCCTTGGTGTATGTGTGTGTGTGTGTGTGTGGCCCACCCGTGCCTCGCGAACGCCGCGCAGGAAAGGTCCAGAGCGACGGCCAATCTGATTTCGGGTCATGACTCGGGTTTGCGGTGGCCGTTCGGGACGATTCGGGCACTCTCAGAACGCCCTCGGCGAGGCGCAGCTGCTGGAACGCATCCCGAGGCAGGACAACCTCCAGGGGAGCCGACGAAACCGTCCGAAAACGTACGCATAGCCGACGAGCGTCCCTGGCCCAAATCCGTCCAGCTCCTCAGGCCCAGCCTGGCGTTCAGGATGCGGTCCAGATCCTGGTCGGCGTCCACCCAGTCCCAGTCACCTAGGGAACGATATGGGGGACTAGCTCAAGGGGGGAGCAATGACCTGGAATCGACCATATTTCGCCCACATATCAGCGACATGCCTCGGGCAGAACCCTGCACGTTCCTGGGCGGGGGAGGGGGGGAGGTCCCGATTGGCGAGTGGGGATCAATGCTCCCCCCCGAGCCAAAGCCGACGTCATGATTTTTCCACCACGTGGACCCCCGTCGGTCTCGACCCATTCCTCGGGACCGGCTTTTCATCCTGATTAGTTTTCTGACGCTCCCAGGGCCTGGTGAGGGCCCTGAGGGGCCGAAAATTGTGAAACCATCTCCCGTTATGGTGTTTTCGCGATGCGAGGGGGTCTGTGGAGCCAGAGCCCCCCCCGTCGGTGCCACTGATCGCCGCGGTGCCGAGACAGCTGCAGGATGTCCGGCGAGCGTGGCGGCGGGCCAGCCGTCGACGACCACGACCCCCAGATGCTCTCGGCCTCCGCCTGGCCGCCCGGGGTGGCGTTTCGCGGCAGACCGCCGCCGCCCCTTCGGCAGCCCGCGCCAGCGGAGCGCCCGCGGCGCCCCGCCGGCAGCGGGCCGCCAAAGGGCCAGAGCCTCCTCCTCCTGCTCCCTGCTCCTCTCCCTCCTCCATCCCTCTTCCTTCTGGGTATCTCCTCCCTGTCGCATCTTGAGGCTGGTCGAGAAGGCGGGCGGGGCGTTTCGCCTGCGAGTTCCTCACCATGTATGATCCTGAAGCTGAAACTCTGCAGAACTTTCACACATGGAGGGCGGGTGGTTTTCAACATGTGGTTCTCGCCTGAAGGCCGCGCACATGCGTCTTGAAGTTTGCAGCAGTTTCACAGATGGGGGCGGGCCATTTTCAAAATGTGGTTCTCGCTTTAGCGCCGCGCACATTCGTCGTAAACGTTAGCAAGAATTTCACGGATGGGGGCGGCTGTTTTCAACGTGTGGCTCTAGCCTGAGCGTCGCGCACATTCGTTGAAAAGGTTCGCAAGAGTTTCACGGATGGAGGGCGGTTGCTTTTCAAAATGAGGCTCTCGCCTTAGCGCCCCGCATATTCGTCGTAAGAATTCGCACCAGTTGCAATGATTATCATGGCTAGCCTCCCAGGAACGGTGTTCTGGCACGATGTCGGAATGTCAGTGCGCAGCAGTCACGTTGATTCGAATTGTTGAATTCCCAGGAATGGTATTATGGCACGGTTCAGGACCGTCGAGACGCAACAGTAATGGTGATTCGCGGCGCGGAAGTCCCAGGAATGGTCTTCTGGCACAGTTCTGGATCTTCAAAAAGGTTGTCTTCCAACGGGGCACTTCTCAGTAAACATGTGTGACAGTAAATCCTTGTGTAGGGGGCTATGAAGAGGGAACCTGGAGGGAGGGTTTATTGCAAGATCGTTGGTCAATCTTAGGTTTACACTGGTCTTCCTCATCCTCCTCCTCCACCTCCTGTCCCTGTTCCTGCTTCTCCTTCTCCTGCCTCCCCCCTTCACCTTGATCCTCTACTCTCCCCTAGGGGCAGCGAAGAGTCGATGGACATCCGGGTGCCTTTCCCAAGACGGTGGAAGCCCGCTCGAGTGCGCGAGCCGCGGCCCCATGAGCGCCAGCCAAGACCTCCTGGACAAAGCGGCTCTCTGCGGGTCCACCACAGCTCGCGCCCTCGCGCCCTCCGCGGTGCGCTGCGCACGGTCGTGCTCGCTCCCCACCCCCCTCCTAGAGAAGGGCAGCTCACCGCGGCGCGCGAGCCGCGACCGAGACGACAGGAGGTCCCCAGAAGCCACTGGAGGTTCACAACAGGCGAGGCGCGCCCCCAAAGGATCTTGAGCCTCCAACGTTCTGCTGCTGCTCCTGCTGCTCCTGCTGCTGCTGATCCCTCCCTCCCTTCTCCCTCCTTCTCCTCCTCCTCCTCCTTCTTTTCCGCCTCGTCCTCCTGTTCCTCTGTCCTCCTCCATTCCTTCTCCTTATGAATAACTCCTACCTGTCGCACCCCGAAGCCAATCGGAAGGGCGGGCTGGGCATTTCTCCTGAGACCTCCTGGCAATTCTGAGCCTGAAGCTAACATCTGGCAACATCTTCGCAAATGATGGGCGGGTCGCTTGCAAAATGTGGCTCCCGCCTTAGCGCCGCGCACATTCGCCTAGAATTTTGCAAGAGTCTCACGGGTTGGGGGCGGGTTGTTATCAAAATGTGGCTCTCGCGTTTGCGCTGCGCACTTTCGCGGTAAAAGCTTGCAAGAGTTTCACGGATGGAGGGCGGTTCCTTTTGAACATATGGCTCTCGCCTTAGCGCCGCGCGCATTCGCTGTAATTATTTGTAAGAGCTTCTCGAATGGAGGCCGGTTCCTTTTCAAAATGTTGCTCTCGCCTCAGCGCCGCACATTCCTTTCAAATATTTTCAAGAGTTCAACTGGTTCTCATGGCTGATGCACCAGACATGTTGTTTCGGAAAATATGTTGATTCGAAGTGTTGAAGTCCGAGGAATGGTAAGCTGGCAACAATCAGGTTGACTCGTGCCGTTGAAGTCCTGAGAAGGGTGTTTCGGTGCCCTTCAGGATTTTCACTTGGTTGCCCGCCAACGGGGCATTTTCCTCAGTGACAGTAAATCCTTGTAGGTGCCTATGAAATCATATGAAGAGGGAGCTTGGAGGCAGGGTGTATTCCAACATCGTTGGTGAGTCTTGGGTTTACACTGGTCCACTTCCTCCTCCTCCTCCTCTTCCGTCCTCCCTCCGATCCTCTCTCGCTTCGGCCGTTGGAATGGAGCTCGTTGCGCGGAGGCGTCTGTCATGCCAAGGAGAGCGATCTCCTGGTATCCGGTGCCGACCTACTACGAGGGTCCGTGCGGCGGATCTGTAAGCGCCCTGGGGCGGGCCACTCGCCAGCCTCCTCATCCCTCCGATCCTCCCTCGGGCCCCACTGCAGAGGTCTCGACACCCCACGGGGGGGGCCACCCTTAATCTTAGATTCGCTGGTGATGGCCACTGGGTGCCCTGCCCGAAGGCTGCCCTGCTGGGGCCGCAACTGCGGGAGGGCATCGGAGGACCGGGCGAGCGCGCCGGAACGGCCGGTGGAGGCAGGAAGTGGTGGGCAACCAGGGGACGGGCACTACAAAGAAAACATGTGCGATATTGTGCGATGGGATCTCCTGGGTATATGTATTTTTATGCTCCCTCCCCAGGCTGTCCAGGTGGATATCCAAGGGGCGGGCATTACACGTATTCGCCAGTGGGCCTCGGCGAAGACACTTGCGATGAGAGCTCGATGCATGTAGTCAATGCACCCGCTGGCCGATTTGCTCCTGCTGCAACCGCCGGCGTTCGGCGGCCGAATCGGCTCCGCGAGCCGTCGGGGTCTGTCCGCGTGGGCTTCGCGACCCTGGACACCCGGGCTTGCGATCCTGGAACCTTGGGCGTCGGCCCTGCGTCTGGGCCCGCAACGGGTGCTGTGGCACCCCGATGCGGGTGCTGTCCACAGAAGCCTCGAGCCCCCCATCCCTGGATCGTGGGAGGGCTAGCGCAGACCACGGCGGCGCTCCCGCCCAGCCCAAACCTGGTATCGGCCCAGGTCCATCCTGACCCTTTTCTCGAAACGGATCTGCCCGTGGCGACGAGAAGCCTCCAGGAGGCCCAAAAGGGGACAGAAGCACCAGAGAGGGCCGCCTTCGTCTCGAGTGGCCCTCCTCCGAAAAGAGGGGGGCCAGGGGAGTAGCACCAGATGGAGGGTCTTCCCCCCCTCTTCCCTCTTCCCGAGGGCCCAGAAGTCTCCAGAGGGTCCGCCAGGGGCCTCCCGAGAGGCTTCTGGAGGCCCAGAAAAGGGCGCTCAAGAATCTCGATCCTGCCCCTCATCCTAACTTCTCCCTCCTCCTATCGCCTCCTCCTCCTCCTCCTCCTCCTCCTATCTCCTATCTCCTATCTCCTATCTCCTCCTCCTCCTCCTGAGCCGCTGAGTCCCTCATGGCCTGAGTCCTACGGACCCGGCCATCACTTCCCCAGGGCCGGTGGGCCCTGGGAGGGTCGCTCAAACCGAGGAGCCTGGCGGCTCCTGGGGCGGTCGCTCCAGCAGCCGTCGGCTGGTGACGCCGGGCGAAGGCCTTCCTCCTCCAGCCAGGAACAAAAACACAAGGTGAGACGAGCGCGTTCCACTGCTCGCAGACTAGCTGCTCGCAAATGGCCTGGATCCCCCGCGGGGGATCTGCGAGAAATCACGTCGAAGCAGACGTGTGTTCTTTTCGGACGTTTGCGAGTAGGCACTTTGCGAGCAGTGGAACGCGCTCTGTGAAAGGTGGCCCCGCCCCCTGGGCGCCGTCTGCGCTCGACGAGCGAGGCTGGGCCACAAGCTTACTTCGAACTGAGGGGAGGTGCCAACCTCCTGTTCGAAACCTCACCCGTCCTCCGATGCCATGGCCCCCCCCCTCCACAATCTGGCTCCTCGTGCCATGGGCGGCTTGGCAGAGGCTGCGGCAGGGCAACAAAACAGACCGTGGTGTCGACGTTGGACGTTCAGTCCCTGGAGCGCGAACGTTGCCTTCGTGACCAGGTGGAGCAGGTTACCCCGGGCACGATTGTCTTCGCGCTCCGCGCGGTAAAAGCCACGGTGGTCCTGGCCAGGCGTAGTGGTGAGTCGAACGGGCTGTGTTGTCTGTTTGCGAGACGAATCGTATTCGTCTCATTTTCGTCGTGGGGTTTGATCGCTCCAGCTGGGGGCGTGCGCGGGGGGCGATAAGCGCGGTGAAACCAAGCTGCTGGCGGCGGGATGAGGCGGAGCCGAGTTGGCGATGCAGGGGGGGAGGGGGGACGGATATTATAACGAGGCAAAAGAGGGGAGGGGAGCCAAATGAATTCAAGCGTGAACTGAACGGGCATGGCGTTGCAACGGCTAATTGGGGCTGGTGGCGTGTCGCAGCCCTCAAGGTGGGAATGACCGGGTCGCGCCGGCACGGCTGCACCCGTGGTTCGAAGCTCGTCGCGAGTCATCCCGCCCACCCAATCCATTGCTATGATAAGCCTGCCCCGCCCCCGAGTCCCGATGCCTATGACAGCGGCGCGAGTGAGCGAATGGGGTGAGGGGGGCCCTGGGGGACGGCCGCGGAGACGGCGGAACCCGGGGGGGGGAAACGAGGATATAGAGAGAGACGATCGCGTGACGAAACTGGCGGGGAATCTAGCTGAGGCCAGCTAAAACGTGAAAAAGCTAGCGCCAGAGTAGCATGGGGAAAGCGCCAGGGTCTCAGGGGCCTGAGGGATGGAGGTGGGCCGTAAACGGCGCAACGACTATGTGACACAACGCCTGGCGCCTTCGTGAGGGCGCTCGTTGGCTTGCCCGTGTGCTTACAGTGGCGGGCATGCCGTGACATGCTTGTGGTTGGTTGTGAGATGAAATGATGGCTCAACTGCTGGCGGCGACGCGGGGCTGGGGCAGTCGGCGCTCTGGGGTGAGGCGGTTCGCCTCGAATGTCCACGACTCCTACGACAGTGTTGCACAGG